ACCATGGACGTATAAAAAAAGGCGGACAGAGTTTCGGCTAAGACAAAACTGAGGCACCGTAATGGCGGCGGCTATTGATGAGTGAGTGAATTGTAGGGTTGCTAGGTTAGCCAATTTTTTACCAATAAAACACAGTAAAAAGGTGAAAATATTTTGATTGTTCAAAATTTTACTTTTTGCCCGACTGCGGAGCATAACGTTTTTCTTTTTTTATAAGTCCATGTTAGAAACTGAAAAATAATTCGTAGTAATTTATTCCTGTTTTGCGGATAATGGGATAAACGAAAAACTGGTTAATATTTATACCTATAGATATTCACATTATGGAAAAGTAGTGAAAATAAATTCATCGGAATATACCCTGGTGTATATGAGTCTCTATATACGAGTAACTAAGAAAGTAGAGTGTGCGGAAAGAGAATGGGCGTGGCGAAAAACGGAACTAACATTAAGATTTTTATTTGGCAATCAAACCCAGCAATCTGTAAAACGTCAAAGTTTTGTATTGATACGGATTTGTTTGTTGTTGTGATTTCTTGCGGTTTTTTGTATTTAATCATGTCTAAAAGGGGTAAAACCTTACAAATACAGTAGAAAAGCACTACAGCGCCCTCCAATCTAAATCCCATTCTCTTTCCGCACAGACTCTACCTACTTCGCTTGTATTATTTTCTATAAAAACGGTTCAAAGATATAATACTATAGATACGAGTAACGCATAAAAACTTTTTAAAAAATAAATTAAACCACCGAAATGTAAAAATAATAAACCTTTTTTATCTTTAATTAAATTAATAAAGTAGTAAATGGAAACTCAGATCTATCAGACATGCTTCATTACATTTTAACGTTTCGGTTTTTTTTTTTAATTTAAAGTTTTTTGTGCATCAAAACAACATGCAGGCATCAAAATCTGTGAGTGAACATTTTCCCACCTTTTATAGTATTTAGGGTAGGATTTTTGATCCTAAATTCATATGGGACCAACTTTGGGATAATATACCCTTACCAATAAACAAAATATAGCAAAATCTTAAAATTACGCGTCGAATTGCGAAATTTTTCCATTTTTTTCGTCGGCAGCGGGCATCACATTCACACTTATGAAACCAGTACCCCTAGCACGAACCAATATCGAATTCGTATCGCTTGCGAGTCCGAAATGTCATTGTCAAATGTGTACTGATTTTTATTTCTCGTTACGTCCGTTGCGTCGGCGTCGCTGCAGTTCAAGTTTCCATACTATTCGAATTCGATAATGGTTCGTGCTAGTGGTACAGTTGGAGTGTTTTTATAGATAGGTCCGACAAATGACTCCACCCCACCTGATGTTAAGTGAAGGTGAAGTCCAGACGCGAAGACAGCTGATACAGCAGTTTTACCTGCCACACCAGCCATCCTCACCCTGCCGGCCTGCATGTTGCTTCTTCACGCCTCTTTTAAAGGATCCCAGGTTATAAGACGTGAGCGGGCAGAGCATTCCATTTAGGGATACTGCGACAAAGAAATGAGTCACCAAATTTCTTTGTACGCGTTGGAATTGTGGCCACAGTGAGACGGTGACAACGTAGGCCAGCGCGCGTGGTCCTCTGAAGGAAGGGGGAAGGTGGGATAAGAGAGAATAACTCCTCAGAACACTCGCCGTGGTACAGACGATAGAACGCGCTTAGTGACGCCACGTCACGACGTAATTGAAGAGGCTCAAGGTGTTTAGTCACCTCCTCATCGCCTATGATGCGGATCGCGCGCCGCTGTAACCTATCCAAAGCATCGAGCAAGTACTTGGCGGAGCCATCCCAGAGGTGCGAGCAATATTCCACGCAGGACCGCACTTGCGTTTTGTACAACAAGCACAGTTGATCGGGCGTGAAAAAACGCCGCACCTTGTTCAGTTGGATTCAGGTCTGAGCGAACTTCCATACCGAGCATGGAAATGTTGCTCTGCAGCGGTAGTGTTGTGCCCTGAAGAGAGGGAAGGGGAAGGAATGGCGATGTTGTTGAAGTGAAAGCGCAAGCCTGAGTTTAGGTTTTTTTTTTTTGTTTTTTATGTTATAGGGGGCATACGAGCAGACGGCTCACCTGATGGTAAGTGATCACCGTCGCCCATGGACACTTGCAACACCAGGAGTATCACAAATGCGATGCCGGCCTTTAAGGAAGGAGTACGCTCTTTTTTTGAAGGTTCTTGGGTCGTATTGGTCCGGAAACACTGCTGGCGACAAAATATTCCACAGTTTTGTCGTACGTGGTAAAAAAATTCGACAAAAACGCACGGTTGTGGATAGCCACGCATCAAGATGATGGTAATTTAATCACATGTGGCGCATTTTTCCTTTTTATGCAACGATATTAAGTTGTATTTATGTCATGATACGTATTTGGCTAGTTATTTTTAGTAAATTAATAAAAAAAAAAATACAAATATTAAATTCATAATTTATTAAATACAAAAATGAAAAAAACAACAATATTCATTAAGAAATAAATAGCTGAATAGATACATTTATAAACATCAGTCTATTCCGATACGATATTAAAATAACAAAATGGATCTTAAAATTTAAACTCATTCATTCTATTTATTGATATGTGTGCCTTTCGTGGTGTAGACACCACAGGGGAAAGTTAGGGAACTATCCCTCTATATATTAAATAACGAAAAGTAATTATTTATATAAACTTGAACAGTGAACACGTTACCTAAATATTCTATTCTTCTACTGTAAAAGTTAGCTCTAGTACAGAATATCATTCTCAATATTATTTGTAAAACACAGGTGCTTAATATTACCTATATCTATATATATAAAGGTGACTGACTGACAGCGATCTATCAACGCACAGCTCAAACCACTGGACAGATCGGGCTGAAATTTGGCATGCAGGTAGATTTTATGACGTAGGCATCCGCTAAAAAAGAATTTTGATCAATTCTACCCCCAAGGGGATAAAATAGGGAATGAAAGTTTGTTTGAAATTTTAAACCGATCGGTTTGAGACTTTGCATGCAGGTATAAGAAGAATCATAGATGAATGCCATTGTGTATAATACAAGCCTGAGAACAAAAACTGTAGTCTACACTTCAGCTCTACACCGAAGCGAAGCGAGGGCGGGCCGCTAGTAATACCATATACAATTATATTTCATTAAATATTCACCATATAATTTCATTCCGCTAATATTGACGGTCAGTGCAGTCAAGTCCCAAAAAATATTTCTATTTTTCTCTTTTTTGTGGTTCAGTCGTGAAAATAACTGGTGCGGCAAAAATATTATGCCATCAAAGCTATGTAATTAAATCAACCTTATACAATTTTTGGTGATTATCTTGTTTTCTTATACATTATTTATTTATTCCACGCATAGGACTTAAAACAGACGTCTTAAGCATCCATTGACCTGTACCCTTAGTACGAGTTTGAGCTCACGAAAACTATCATAGATTTCGTAATTGTAAATTATATTTCTAAGTCCGTTTCGGTGAAAAGTAACCAAATATACTTAAAATTTATGAAGACGCAAATGTTTTTATGATAGAATTTAAACACTGTTTTTTTTGTATTGAAACGAAAACAATAAAATCAGTAGCCTTAGTACGAGTGGGAGCTCACGAAAACTATCATAGTTTACGTAATTGTAAAACTCGTACTAAGGGTACTGAAGCTATATATAGAATTCTCAACGCGATCGAATACATGGTTGTAGAGAGATATTGCTCTACTACGAGCATTATTTCTATTGATCTAGCCACAAAAATGAACAAAGATCTAGCAATATAATGTGTATTATAAGTTCATACATTAAAAATATGCCTGTGAATTGAGAATCCTCTTCATTGAAGTCGGTAAATAACGCAGCCCAAAAGCTCTATGTTGTGTGCGACTGTGTAATTCATGTCTGGTTATAGACTGTGATATTGCAACGACGCAATCACTGCCCTTAGCACAAACTAATATCGAATTCGAATAGATTGCGACTGCGAAATGTCATTGTCAAATGTGTACTGAATTTCAGTTCCCGTTACGTCCGTTGTGGCGCTGTTGCTCAAGTTTCCATACAAACTTTGACAATGACATTTCGTACTCGCAAACGATACATGAATACAATTACTGTAGGTAGGTATCGTTCCTTATTTTAGAATCATAATTTCAAATAACATCATAATCTTATACAAACATTAATATGTATATACTAGATAAAACCTATCAGAAAGTAAGAAAAACCTATTCACACTGTTACAATTCTTGATACTTACATTTTCATTAAAAATAGAGTAAGCTTTTTACAGCTAAAACATTAAACTACTATACTTAATTATACATATAAGTATGTATAAAGTGTATATTAATTAATAGGAAGACCATTTATGATGAATGTCTGCATTGCTTTTCATAACTAAGGTATATGAAATCCTTCTATGTACATACACTTATTACGAAGTCCCACACGTGGAATACGTGGGCCTACTAACAATACTGTTGTACCAAAAAAATTAAACCTACCCGCTTGAAAATATTTACTATAATAAGTGGATGGATAATCCATGGATTTTGTAAAAGTTGCATGCATTACAGAATATCTTTTTGGTTAAAAAAAAATGGTTGCCTGTAAAGTCGGTTTTACGGGCGAAGATTTTACGTGACAACGTCTTTTTCTCGGTAGAATATTTATTGATATGAATATAATTAAATTGCACAATAGGAACAAGGAATTGAATGAAAATAAGAATTGCACAAATTTTAACTATAGAAATATATTTTGTTTACTAAAACATTGTACATGTAAACTTAAACTTAACACGAGAGACTCATCGTAACGTTACCGAGCGTTACACTTTTTCATAAGTGACTCCCAGCCGCAACCTAATTTAAGACGTTGTCACGTCAAAAGGAACTTTTCTGAATATCCATCACGCATGACTCATGGGCCATTTAGACAGACAAGTCTTCATCTGAACTCTTGGCTAACTGCATTTAATCTTTGCATATTACAATCTAAGGCCCGTATTGTAGAAAGATTGACAGTGATTGATCTAGTCTTGAGCATGGTTAGAAAAGGATGTTGCTATATATAGCACATAGCGACATCCCTTTCTAACTGTACTCAAGTAAAGATCAACACTTACGCTGTTAATCATAAAAATGAAAATGTTTAATAAACCTGTTTTAGCTAAAACACTGTTTTGTCTCGTTCTTTCTTAGCACTGTCAAGATTTGAGAGAAAGTGACACAACAGTGCAATAGTTAAAACAGGTTTATTAAACTGTTTTTTTTTAATTTTTATGAATAAGAGCGTTAGTTGTCATTCTGTAATAAGAGTCTTAGTGTTTAAGACACAAATTAATCGATCTCTCTCTAACTGAATGTTCAAAGTTTTAGCCTTGGTATATTTATTTTTATAGTAACTGCAGCCCCTGATGGTAAAATTTTAATATAATCCTATAATTCTAAAAACCCTTTAGTTTGCCATGCGGAGAAGTACAAGAGAAGTATCAAGATGTCTCGAGTCTAGTGCTTGTACATGGCAAGGCAGCGGTGTTGTAACTCAGCAACTTATATCAGGTCCAATTTCACTTTTTCGTGGTCCTTTAGGTACTTAGCCTTTTCCGACTCGAACAAGGTGACCAGCCGCCACGTGAACTCCTCATGAACTTTATCGACTTCCTCTGGGGTCGGTTCCAAATTCTTAGCAACTTCCATCGGGGCGCCAACTGAAAAATAATTAAATAACATCATGAGCTTATGTGGTGATTCTTGAGATAGCTTTAGCTACATACAATGTCATCATCATCAGCCTATTAATGTCCCCACTGCTGGGGCACAGGCCTTCCCTATGGATGGAATAGGGAGATTGGGCCATGACCCACCACGCGGGCCCAGTGCGGATTGGTGGATGCTAACGACTGCAGATGCGACCGGGACCAACGGCTTAACGTGCCTTCCGAAGCACGGAGGAGCTCGAGATAGTAAATTTTTTTGGTCACCCATCCAATAACCGACCACTGCGAAAGTTGCTTAACTTCTACGATCGCAGCCGAACGCGTTAACCACTTGCGCCATCAAGCTCCTCAGATTCATATTAACAATAAAAAAATAACCAATTCAAAAGTAAAAATCAAAGGTAATGTTCAAAGGTGTGGCAAATTTCAAGGTAAGGAATCATGTATAGCATTATTGATACCTAATTTATAACTATTTATAAACGTTTAATTTATTATCATAAAAATTTAATAATGAGCATACCAACAAAATGACAAACTTATTGTCTCAAAAACTTTTAGTTTTATAAATCTGAATCTAAATAAATCAAATTAAAAAAAAACATAAATGCTAAATCCTATTTTACATTTGACTAGTTTTAAAATAAGAATTAAAAAAAACTAAACGACTACTGTATAGTCTCAAAAACTAAACTTAAATACAAAAAAATTTCGTCAAGTTTAAACAATAAAATAATAAATATTGTCACAAATGTCTAGTCCTATTTTACATTTGACTAGTATGACAATAAAATACCTAAAACGATTTGTTTTTTGTATCAAGAACTAAAAAAAAAAAATTCAATATACACCAATTAGCCTAGCCCCAAAGTAAGCACTATATGGATTGTGTTATGGGATGCTAGGGTAACGGATAGAATACATACATAAACTGTACATATATAAGTATATTTATATAAATACATATTGAACATCCATGACTGGAGTACAAATGCTCGTATTCATCACACAAACATCTGCCCCCACCGGGATTCGAACCCGGGACCTCTCGAGTCGGCGACACCATGAAACCCGGCGTATAAACCACACGGCCACGAAATCATCAAATAAATATATAAAAATATTAAACAAAATATTCTTTATTTTTTAAGTTAAAACAATCAAAACACGAAAACTAAAATTATTGGCATATTGAAACTGACTGCAAGATTTTTTCATCCGTCGCATAGATACGTGCTGTTTATGAAATTGATTTAAACACGTAATTTCTATAATCGATTGACTAAAAATCTATTAAAATATACATAAAATTCAATATTTTTAACATCGCTACGCTACCTCTACCTCAGTTTAGTAACTTTTTATCTGATGTACGTTGTACGATCGAAACGAAGTCTGACATAGTAAGAATATAGAAAGAAAATTTCTTCCTTCTATTATTGAGCATGACATAAGCACTAGGCATGCGTCCGATATATCAAAACGAATCCAAAATCCGATTTCAAACACAAATCGATACCGAACGATTTCTCAACAAGAAAATCCGATTTCAGAAATCTAACCGAACCAAAACGCTAGCGATCTAATACCACCACAAGTATCCAAATGTAAATCGGATTCGAAATTCGTGCTTTCGTTTTCGGAAGTCAGATTTCGTGCTCGGAAGTCCGATTTCGGTTTGCTGTTTACGGAAATCTATTGTTCTTCTCTAAGGCGGGATTATTTATTACTGAAAAAAGATGTCTAAAAACATCAAAAGTCGAGCAACTGACATTTTTTTGAACGCTAACCTGAAGTAATTAGGTTTGATTTTGTAAATGGTTTGAAAAATAATAAAAACACAACAGAAAAACCAAAAAAATTACTAAAAAAATATGTAAAAGAAATCATTTAACATAAGCCGATTTTTAAATGCACCGCAAAAGTTTTACTCTTAACCGTAAAGATAACTTTTCTGCTAGTCCTAAGCCACAGAATATATACTCTTGCCTAAGCCTAGATTTAAAGCATAAAGGAAAATCGCGCAAATCTACGAGTATCCTTGCTTCGTACAATTAATTGTTTGTGATTGTCGTTAGCTAATAAAACCAAATCATATCACAAACTAGTGAATTGGCTTAGTTCGGCACATCTGAAATCAGATATCTAAAAACGGATTTTAAAATCGATTTTGAAATCTGAAATCCGATAAATATCCGTTTGCGTTCAAAACCAAAAACGCCCATGTCTAATAAGCACTTTTATCGCCGATTAGACGAGAAGCGCTAAACAAAAATACACCATAGCCTATAGACGGCTTGCTTCTTACCAGAAGTATCACGAATTAAAAGTTGAGCTGTTGTTGATTAAGTACAATATCGGTGTCAAAACCATAGCGCGATCCAGGTGAATAGCAGCGCCATCTGTTGACGTTTTATGAACTAAACAAAATGATTTTGCCACCTCCGATCTTACATTGTATTGTGATGTTATAGATTTGCTAAAAAGGTATTATCTAGGTATTAGTCGTTATGAGAAATCTATGTAAATATAAATTTATTAACAACAGCGCCAAACTGGATATTTTTTGTGTTCGTTATTGTCATGAGAAATAGATTATAAGTAAGTAAATAAGACAATCGAAAAGAAACACACTAGTCAACAATATTTAAACTTTTCTTTCGTCACATAAAAACTTTTTTTTTTTCATTTTGAATACTTTGAGTGCACTCAATGCACGGTTTCCCTAGCAATTTTTTACAAAGCAAATTTACCAAACAGCACCTATTAGCACCAAAGTTTGGCTGTTGGTTCTACTTAATTACCATCTACTTCAATGTTGTCAATATGTCGAGGGTCGCTTTTACCCTGGGGTGAATGCCATCCCTTCTCAGGGACGAAAAATGTTTTATTAAAAATAAGAATGGGAATGTATAGAATAGACTTATTCTAAGCAACTTTTGTTCTTTAAAGTTTTATCTGATCGGAAATACTTTTCAACTTATTTGATTTAAACATCAATTTTCCAATAAGAAAATCACGTTTTTAGGCGGATTTTCAAGAATACCTCTGTTAATAAGTATTTTATTAAAAAAATCTTTCGGAATTAAATTGTAGCTTATTAAAAAACAACAAAATACTAGGTTTAAAATATCTATTTATATAATATTAATAACTAAATAACGCCTGAATCTAAAGTTTCAACATGAAACATAACTGTAAAAAAACCATGCATTTTTTTTTATTGCTTGAAAAACTTTAATTTCCGTATTTATTGAAGTTCCTAAAAAGAAAAGCGAGTTATTATAGTCGCCCCCTAATTACCCCCCCAATTGGAAATAATAGTAACCACTCCTTAATTTACTTAATTAATGTACTTATAATATGCCCTATAAGTTTACCCGTAATAAGGTATTTAGTTTTTGAAAAAAAAAATGAGATTGAAGTGAAGAGAGCTTTTTCGGATGTTGCAAAGAAAAGTCTTTCTTCAAAAATTTTGAAAGCTACGCAACATTTTGAGGTGTTAAAAATGTAGGTTTATTTAATGGAAACATTTTGTATTTTTTCTTTTTCTACTAATAAATATGGGGTGATACGGCCGTATCAAGTTTGCTTATGTTCGCAAATAAGTAGTAACTACTTCAAAGTTCTTCCAGCTGAAACCTTTGAAAAACAAGAACTGAAAAATGAATAGACTTTAAATAGTATAAAAACCAATAAAAAAAAATTGTTTTGCAAAAAATAAATTAGGCGAGTATTGGTAAAAATACGTAACCACAATTTTTTACAGTTACCAAAACACTTATATTATCGCACCACTTATAGAAGATTCCTTCACCTTTTCACTCATTATAGGACACATATTCATAGTGAGTTCTATGAGATTTCCCCGAAAGTAACAATGTTTTTTGGACATTTCACATCAATTTACTTCTTAAAATAATTTTTTTTGCTGTTTTTTTGTAGCATTATTTTCATGTAATTCCTGTCATGTCGCGGAATACTGAAAATGTAACTTAAAGTTTCCTAACTCGTTACAATAAGGTAAGTTTAATAAAAAAAGAGTTGATTTGTATTGTTTTCGTTTGATTTAGACCTACTTATGAAATCGAAAACATAAATTGTCACATGTATTATCTTTCATGGTCACTAGCATTATAGATATTAACGGGATTGTTACCATGTACCTTGTTTTTTATGAGTCTCCGATATTTCGGCACTGTTGCAAGCGCCATGATCACGGAGTAACTGGAGTAGCAGTTACTCCGTGATCATGGCGCTTGCAACAGTGCCGAAATATCGGAGACTCATAAAAAACAAGGTACATGGTAACAATCCCGTTAATATCTATAATGTATTATCTTACCCAAGTTGTGAATAAAATTAATATTAAATACCCCTGTATTATCCGTACGTACTGAGGGAGCCCCCCCTCCCCCCCTGCTTAGAGACTCCTCAGAGATTCTCTTAAATTCTTCAACTGTACTTTGGATTTAAGTAAAGATGCCTGTACAACTCTTAAAAACCCCGAAATCTTTCAACACAAAATGTGGCTCCGCCACGTGGCGAGCGAGTTTTGGGCAGGTAGTGAGTTTTGAAATTGTCACTCTACTAACTTACTCGCTTCTTTACTATACTACGAACGAGTTTTTCTAGGAGAGAAAGCTTTAGATTAATTTATCTGCGCATGTTTTTTTGAACATTTTGACAGAGAAAGCTATAACAGTGGAGCCCCGGTAATCCGGCCCCTTCCTAATGCGGCACCCCCTATAATCCGACATCGTCTATTACATACCAGTATTCGCTAATTCACGATTGAACAAGTTACAACTTGTACGCACCATCACTATTTACTATTATTACTTTTATAATAAAACGTCTATAATCTTTCTATTGTGTTGTTTAATTTACTAAACTTGACATACATAACGAAGTATGATTTGTAATCTTATCATTGGATCTGTAATTTGTCGGATTACAAGGTACTCTTTTGTAAAAAAAATCGGACTATAGGGGGTCTTAGGCAGTACTCTATAATCCGACAAATTCGATAGTTCGACACTGCCCTGCAAAACGTTTGTCGGACTACCGAGGAATCCACTGTATATCTATATTTATGCATTTTCCACTAAAACCGACGGTAGTAAGACGACAGCGAAGAGGCAGCACTCCAAACGTGTACTGGAACATGCCCCGCCCGATGGGGGAAGAGTGGTGAGATGCCCGTACGCTTGTCAAACTCCTGGCAGCGACGCTGTCCCTATATCTATGTCACTAACCGACAGTAGTGATGGGGCAGCGTAGAGGCAGCACTCCGAACGTGTATTTAAACATGCCTCGGCCGATAGGGAAGAGCGGTGAGATGCCCGTATATGTAAACTTTTGGCAGCAGCGCTGTCCCTATATCTATGTCACTAACCGACAGTAGTGATGGGGCAGCGTAGAGGCAACACCCCGAACGTGTACTGGAACATGCCTCGCCCGATGGGTAAGAGCGGTGAGATGCCCGTATGCCGCTTGTCAAACTCCTGGTAGCGGAGCTGTCCCTATATCTATGTCTATGTCACTAACCGACAGTCGTGATGGGGCAGCGTAGAGGCAACACTCCGAACGTGTACTGGAACATGCCCCGCCCGATGGGGAACAGTGGCGAGATACCCGTATACCGCTTGACCCACTCCTGGAAGCGGCGCATCAGACTGTCCTGCGGGTTGGACATGGGACGGAACACGTCCGGCTCGCCGAAACTGAACACTGGCACCAGGGGTGACCTAGAAACAACAAGCAGAAACTACTTAACCTTTCCGATCATTAATAAAAATCGGTTGTCTGTAAAGTCAGTTTACTGACGATAGTTGAACGTGACAACGTTTTTTTTACAATATACATAGTTTTTACAAGTATGAATGTGCGTTGAGCAATTTATCGTTGATATAAACAATTCAGTTTTCACTGCACTTCATACTTGACGAAAACATGTATGTAAATGTATTATTGTATAGCAGCTGTCCACGCGGACGCATCGCTCACTCAAGTAGGAGAGAGACAGATGTTGAACGCTGTCAAACGCGGAGGCCGATTATGCCTCTTTGTCGCTCGTTGCGCGCTCTCACTTGCACTTCAAGCCTTAAATGGAACGCCTCAGAGCGAGGTAACGCCGCATCATCATGTTTTTTCGTACGTGCAGCCGGCTCCATAGAATTATAAGACGTTGTCACGTCAAAAAACAGTTTACGGACTACCTACTATAACAGAGTTTATAAATTGCGTTTATAAGAAAGTCAAATAGTGTTTTATTAACTCAAATCCTATACATAGGAAACTAGGGGATCACGACCGAATTGATTATAAATTGATACCGAACAACTACTTTATGAAAATTAACATAGGAGGTACCTCTCTCTGTATACATAATACAATGTGTATTCAATGCCTGGAACTCGCTGTTTATATTACTGTTATATAGTGATGGGACAGCGGAGATACAGCACTCCGAACGTGGACTGGAATATGCCCCGGACGATGGGGAAAAGCGGTGAGACCTGACAAACTCCTTGCCGAGGTCTGTTTTCCCGGACCAATATAATCTGGACATCTTCAAGGCCAGAGTGAACAGGCATCTTCTAGACAGGCGTGTACCATCTTAGGGCTCATCATCGCTTTCCATCAGGTGAGATTGTGGTCAAACGCATTGCCTATTTTGCACAAAGAATCTTCGATTTTTTTTATTTTTTAGGTATGAACTTAGCTTAACCTCTGAAGAAACATAGGACTGTTTAAGGTATTCCCTGAGATGAAATCAAACCCTGCTAATTTAATCTAAGGGCATTCCTCTTTTCAACACTCACCCAGCCATCATAGCAACACGAATGAATCCTTTCCTTCTGCTCAGCGTCAGCTTGTATTTCCCAGGATGAGAGTCCAGGGCCTCAGCAGCGCCACCCACGATCAGAGCAACACATTTGCCTTTGTATTTCTTCAAGTTCAGTAAATGGAGCAAGCTCTCTTGAGAAGACGCACATGCCCCAAGCGCCAGTACCAGATCTCTGAAGAAAGGTACTAGGAAATGGCCGCCGAGGGTTATCATATTGCACGTCATGCCCGGGAACAGTTGGTAGAAGTTGGCAGCGTTGGTCGCGAACGCGCCGAAAGCGCCCGAGCTGACCACGCCGTGGGGGAAGCAGGCGAACAGGTAGTTTCTAGAAGGATCTAGATCGGTCGTCTTGACGAGTTTCATGGGGAAATAATCGCAGTAGTATCGCCACCAAGACCAGTTGCGCACCCAGTCGAATCTGGAATTGATTTGTTGATTTTATAATTATTATTTATTTTCGATAAATTTTCAATTTACAATTTTAGAGTTAACAATATTTTACACTTTGTCTAATGCTTTGAGAAGTCTTTATAGCAATTCACAGCCAGTTTGAAATTACCCAGAAAAAAATATTTATTTAAAGATAGTTTGAGCCAGGTGACTTGAGCCTGAGCACCGCGATATGTTAAATAACCGAGTGTGTCTGACAGTTAGAGTCGATTAAAAACGTGACATTATTTTGATGTTCATGCTACGAGGACTGGTGATACATTAAAGTTGACTTGAACAATCTGAGTTTCGTTGTTTTTTTTACAATATTTATTGTTTTAAATTCCCTAACCTAAATTACAAAAATTTTTGGCGCGAAATCTACGGACACTACCTTCCCGTCCAGTCAACAAGCGATCTTTTGGACTAATCGCAAGACGATTACGGCGTAGGTATTCCACTAAATAAATTGTCATAGTTTCGCCGCGAAACTATGCCCGCCGCGAAACTATGCCCGCCGCGTGACATGTATTTGAACGAATAAAGTTATACTAGACTTTGATTATTTTAGAACAGTTTATTAATGATCTAATAGAATAACTCTTTATGTATTTAAAAAAGTATATATTCATGTATTACCTTGAGCGTAAAAAAAAAATATTCACTATAACATAGCAAGAGCCGCGCGTGTGACACGGAAAAATCTAGTGAAATTACCGCGTTTTACAGTTTCAAATGGATATTTAACCAATTTCTTTAATTAAATATTATTTTTTATCAATGGGCCTCAACACTACAATAGTTAAGTAAAGTTTGGAGTGGTATTTTATTCAAGTTAGTCTATTACTCCAGTTAATATTTCAATGTGACCCTTAAAATCATGGGTCCCAGGAATCACCCAACTATGGATCATTCTGTAATTTCACCTACTTGCATACTCAGTTCCTATAATTTAGCCTAGCTCGTCCAACAGCTCTGTATATCAATGTTTCCAAAATAAAATAAAAGGCTTACTAACTTCCTGCCCCCCTTGTGACAGATATCAATGTCGTTGAGCATCCACGCCGCGTATAAAATTCCCAAGTACCAGTACTGGGAGTATAGCAGCTGGATGGCCAGGTAGATTGAGAAGCCTTCCCCGAATAGCACCAGAAAGATCCAGCCGGCTGCCGCGAGTGTCTGCAGCCGTCTCTCCATCGGGATGTCGACGGGAGCCCATTGCAAGCCGAGCGCGTTTGATAATTTCCTGAAGAAGATAAAGTTTTCTAGATTCAGTTCTCAGTTATAATCCATATTAATATCTCTTATCTAATAGACAAGTCCGTCCGTCCGTCCGTGGTGCTGTTTCAGCGGCCAAACCGTAAGAGATAGATATAGAGAATGTTTAAGTTATAAGTTAAGAATAGTCTGATAAGACTACAAACCGGATGTGAGTAACGTAGCACTTCCGGTTTTCGAGAAATCACGTGATTTCTATTTCAAACCTAACCACACAAAATCTCCGAAGTTCTCAATTAATTAAATACATTTCATTTTTGGTGAACATTTGGTTCACTAGTTTGCTAGTTACCTATAAATGCTAACGTCAGTCTGTCTGTTGATTTAGATAAAGTTTCAGGGAAATAGAAATTACTACTACTGCTGAGCCGAACTAAATGTTTTTTTTATTGGACAAATATCCCGCATCACACAAAAAGTATCATGTAAATCAGTAACCTTAGCACGAAACAATATCGAATTCGAATAGTTTGCGAGTGCGGAATGTCATTGGCAAAAGTGTACTGATTCTTAGTTATCGTTACGCCCGTTATGGCGCTGCTGTTCAATTTTCCATACAAAATTGTACAATGACATTTCGCACTCGCAAACTATTCGAATTCGATATTGGTTTGTGCTAGGACCGAACTAAGAACTTCATCTTTTTTGAAGTCGTTTAAAAATACTGAATGCCTTATTTCGAGAAATCGAATGGCTGGTCATCACAATAAACAATTTTTGTTTCATTCTCGCTTATGTTGGAGTAATGAAATAGGCTCATGATCAAGGTATAAGAAATGATTGTCATGATGATATTCCAATGAGTAGTGAGTAAGTTTACAAAGCAAAGATCAATCCAATAAAATGTTTACGTATCGTTCGGGTTAGTCATTAGTTCCGACCTTTAGATAAGTATAAATACATTATATCTAATAAACATGATTATTATAATAATAATAATAATAATAATAATAATCATCATCATCATCAGCCTACTAATGTCCCCACTGCTGGGGCACAGGCCTTCCCTATGGATGGAATACGGAGATTGGGCCGTGACCCACCACGCGGGCCCAGTGCGGATTGGTGGGTGCTAACGACTGCAGATGCAGCCGGGACCAACGGCTTAACGTGCCTTCCGAAGCACGGAGGAGCTCGAGATAATAAATTTTTGGTCACCCATCCAATAACCGACCACTGCGAAAGTTGCTTTGCTTCAACGATCGCAGCCGAACGCGCTAACCACTTGCGCCATCGAGCTCCACAAATAAATAAAATAATAATAATAAATATTACCAACACTCACACCAATTACCCTAGCCCCAAAGAAAGCACTGTAAGGCTTGTGTTATGGGATACTAGGGTTACGAATAGAATACATAATATTGTACATATATAAGTATTTAATATATAAAATTCTCGTGTCGCAGTGTTTGTGGTTTAAACTCCTCCGAAACGGCTTTCCCGATTCTCATGATTTGTGTGCATATTGGGTAGGTCTGAGAATCGGACAACATCTATTTTTTCATCCCCCTAAATGTTAAGGGTAATCCACCCCTAATTTTTTTTTCCAATTTTAGATATATTTTTTTTTTATTTTTTTATGTTACAGCATTAATAAATACATATAACCCTGAATTTTCGACCCTCTACCACCAACCCTTATTTTTATGGCGGTACGAAGTTCGCTGGGTCAGCTAGTATTTATGTAGAAATACATATTAAATATCCATGACTGGAGTACAAATGCTCGTAGTCATCACACAAACATCTGCCCCCACCGGGATTCGAACCCGGGACCTCTCGAGTCGGTGACAAACCACTGGGCCACGGAGGTCGTCAATATTAAATGAGACTAATAATTTTTACAAGTAAGCTGCTTGGGTGGTTGCTTACAGATAGAGCTACAATTTAGGAATATTTTATGAAAACAAAATCACGAAAGAATGGTTAAAGATGGTTAATCGAGTTAGAAAATATTTTTGAAAGTGAATATTATGATGGTTTGTTCAACCCAATATTTTTCTTTGAATGTAAAATTAACTAAGTACTTTCTTCAGTCTCTAAGTAAGAACCAATTCATATCAATTTCATTTTTAGGCAGCGTGCGATATCGATTTCGTAATAAAAGATAAGAAAAAGATAAGGTCCTTAGGCCGTCGAACGGCGACTGTTGGACTACATACTTATTTACCAATCTATGATAACTGATAAGGTATAGGATTTCTTCGAAGAAATTTAAGTCCAATAGTCTATTTTAAGCTACCGTTTCAATAATGCCATGAACGTGTCTGATAAGTTCTGTAAAGTTTCAGTCTGATAATAAAAAACAGCTTTTACCTAAGTGCAAAAATTTGGTCAGACATAGACTTCAATTAGAAGAAAGAATCATCATTAATGACCGCACTGCTGGAGCACAGGCCTTCCCTATGGATGGAATAGGGGATTAATGGCTTAACGTGCCTTCCGAAGCACGGAGGAGCTCGAGATGAAAAATTTTTGGTCACCCATCCAAGGACAGACCACTGCGAAAGTTGCTGGACGACCCACTGGGTGGGTCAAGAGGACCCGTATAAGAAAACGCCATAATTACAAAAGTTAAAATAAATTTGGTTTGTGGTTGTACTATCTGTATAATACGATTATCATTATAGGTTTTGAGTAGAAAAAAAAACAACATGATACGAAACTATCTTTTTAATGACATTTTTAAAAAGTGTCACAAAATATTAACAAAATGGACAACCTCTGTCTTAAAGTAATAAAATTTTAACAATTAAACTTTTTTCCATAAAATAACTAATTTGTTACATGATAATCAAATCTTTAGTAGACTAATAATATTATACTATTTGTATCAGTCTCATACGTCAGTCATAGTATCCTTATCATCTGCGCAATCTCGGCAGTACAACATTGCATGCTCACTGCAGATGTACTTGCTACAGCTCCGACAAATATTATTAGTTTTTCTAGCTTTTTTGGCAGAACAGTCTTGGCATCTCTTTCTAACATTAGGTATCTTCGTAGGTGGCTCCTCATCAGGTTCTCCTAAAAACTCTCTTATTATTTTGCGCATAAGTCTTGGCAATTGAATGACATCTTTACGATTGCGCAAATGCTCGTCGCTGTTATAATCAGTTGCGTCTTGATTGGTGTCACTATCTTGGCTGCGAACACTCAGATGGACTTCTTCTTCTTCAGTTTCCGATGTACAATTTTCGTATTCGGTATCGGATTCTTGCAAAAGACTTAAAATTCGCTGCTGTTCGATCCATAATTGCAAAAGTTCTGAAAATAACAAAATAAAACAACAAACAAATCATTTTTTTTAAACGGCGCAAAATTACGACACGGATAGTATGTCATATTTACCTTTTTTGCGTTTGGTTGTGTCTATCACCCGCTGCGTCCGCAATACGACTGAATGGCGAAATCCCGCGCGGAGGGGGGACCATTAGCTCCAGCTACTGAGAAATTTGGCAACGTCGCACAAAAATATTAAGATACACGCTCATTTGAAAACTGCTCGGGTCAGGTCAGATAGACCCAACTGTGCGAACGCCGGGTTTAATCAAATAGAGAGAGAGATGTCATCCATCATATTACACACCTTTTTGTTTTAATCTAAGTATTTCACCAATTAACACAAGTCACACCCGCTGCGACCGCAATACGACTGCTGAATGGCGAAATCCCGCGCGGAGGGGGGACCATTAGCTCCAGCTACTGAGAAGTTTGGCAACGTCGCACAAAAAATTTAAGAAACACGCTCATATGAAAACTGCTCGGGTCAAAAAGACCCTACTATGCGAACGCCGGGTTTATCAAATAGACAGAGCGAGATGTCATCCATCATATTACACTCCTTTTTGTTTTAATCTAAGTATTTCACCAATACGAGGACCTGGATGGCGCAAGTGGTTAGCGCGTTCGGCTGCGATCGTTGAATTTAAGCAACTTTCGCAGTGGTCGGTCATTGCATGGGTGACCAAAAATCTTCTATATCGAGTTCAGTGTTTCCACTTTAATGATTTCCTTTCCCCATGCCTCAATTCAGATTTCCCCTTCTTAGGACATTTTTCCCCACAAAAATTATTCTGCTGTAGTTTTTAGATTTTGGCACTAATGTAGTAACTAAAGAAAAAAAAGGTCTTAATCTATCTTATTCTATAAGAGATAAATAAAATATATAAAATTTGCACGTGTTACCACAGTTTCTTTTATACGGCAACACTCTAGTCCACGGTATCGTTCCATAATTTTTTTTTCCGTGCCGCATTATTTTAGGCTAGGCTTTACCCATAATTTTCTTCCCCTCTGGTCCCTAATTTCCCCTTAAAAGGGGAATTTCACCTCATTGTGGAAACACTGATCGAGTTCCTCCGTGCTTCGTGTTGGTCCCGGCTGCATCTGCAGTCGTTAGCACCCGCCAATCCGCATTGGGCCCGCGTGGTGGGTCATGGCCCTATCTCCCTATTCCATCCATAGGGAAGGCCTGTGTCCCAGCAGTGGGGACATTAATAGGCTGATGATGATGATGATGATGATTTCACCAATTAACACAAGTCAACTCTTTATTTTGTCCGTATCTTACGATAAAGCAGAATAATTTTATCCAGTTTTCTAGAAATCAGCCAGCCCTTAATAAAATACATACCTATCGAAATGTACCACACACGTGTATATTGTATACTTCTTTGTAAATGTGTACTAAATTTTCAAACTTATGAATCTGATAAAGCATTTATTAATTCTACCTTAGTTTTATTAATAGACCGGTTAGCCTTGGTATATGAAGCGTGAACTCAATTGGATTTTGATCTCATCGGCAGCTCATCAATTATCTCACTTCAATAATTTATCATTTAAGATTTTTTTATTACTAGCTGACTTGGCGAACTTCGTACTGCCCAAAAGTAAAAATTTGCAATAAATAATATTGCGATTATAAATTGAGATGTAAGCTATCTCATCTTTCAAGTTGGATCAAACTGCACACTGTGTGAAAATTTGATTAAAATCGTGTAAGTAGTTTAGGAGTCCATCCCGGACAAACAACGTTGGCCACAACACTAACCTAACCTAACCTAGTATGAAGTATCACCACTTAGGCCCTGGAAGTACAGTTTAGCCAGAAATTGCCATCGCGAAGATAGATGATACGGCAGAAGGTGTGCCTCTCCAACCATCCTCACCTTGCCGGCCTGTATCAAATCCCCTGCTTTAACCCGCGGAGCCCCGAAACCCTACTCAATAGCAGTAACACAACGCCATCAAAATGTAGTGTTTTTACTGTGGTCTACTGTAAGGTCTTCCCCAGACGGGCACTCCAATTCCCCTTTATTCTCACTAGTTCAATTAATTACTTCCATCGTCGAACTAGTGAGAATTATTTTCCTCATTTGTTCGACCGTCGAACTAGTAAGAGTATTGGATAATGTTGTAATGGAAGGTGACTTCAGATGTGTCTCTGAAGTCATTTTTCATCTTGACGACTCTGTATATAACAATACAGGGAGAAAAAAACAGCCCTTGCCGAGTTTCTTGTCGGTTCTTCTCAGTACAAGGTCTCCCGCCGTAGTTTTGCGAACCGATTGCGTAGCTTCTTGACATTCACAAGTGCTTGTAACAGCCTAGACTGAATAAATGACTTTTCATATTTGTTCTCACTTGTTTGATTTCTTAGTTCGATCCGTTAACTTATTATTCTTAATCGAGATACAAAAACAATAATTCCAGCGGAAAATTCGCTGTGCCCTTCTAAATGATGGCACAGTGACACTTCACACTCCATATAAAATTAAAAAAAAAAAACAGGAAAACACTCTCGTACCTTGCGATATCCAAAGTTTTGAAAAGTATGTGCAGAATGCTCGAAAATATCACCCGTCCGAACAACATTATCTTAACTGTTCATAAGTCAGTGATAAATTCAATGAAAATAAACAGGTTTCTTTTGATATGAAAACACAAACACTATATATTTTATTCAATATTTTAAACGTACAGACAATTACCTACGCAAAGACGACCAAAACCACACGGGCGAACTAAACTTAATATTAATAGGTTTATGATATATCGTGTGAATTCTAATAATATTTTATTATCATTGCCAAATCGTTTTTCTAAGTAGGTAACTAGGTATTGGTTACAGTGCTAACATAATAAAGGGTAAGCGAATAATTTTATTCACTATTATACCCACGTTAAGTAAATATGAACACTTCGTGAATTTTTAAATACTATAAAACATTCTGTGCTGTCAGAATCCTTTCGTTATTGGTTAGTAAACATATAATTTGTTTTTCACATATATTTTTGATTGATTATATTTACTTAAAGGTACGTATAATAGGTACGTAAAGTCTATTCTGCTGTCTGTCAGTCGGTAGTATGTATTTATTATATGTCTGCTTATAGAACCCTCATCAAATACAGGGTACCCTAATAGGTAGTCAACATTTTTATAGACCTATTCCTAACGGTCGTAGCTTAAAAATTAAGAAGATCTCTTTTAAATATTGTTAGTTGTCATATACAGTCAAAACCGAATATAGCGACATCGTATATAACGACGGGTCGGTTATTACGCCCAATTGGCAAGGTCCCGGCCGAATCCCTTTACAAACCTTTAAACCAACCGCCTATAATAACATCGGATATAGCGAACTCTCGCTTAAAACGACTTATAACAGATGAATATCGATATAGTTCATATTGGTATTCATCATCTATAACGACCATCCGTTTTACTTGTTCCAGTAAAAGAAAAAATGCTGTAGGTATTTCAATTTTTTTTCTAATAAACCTGTTTACTTCTCTTTGCGATTTTTTTTGTAAGCTAGTTAATAAGCATGTTGTTTACCCGTACTTCGTACATACATATGAAAATTAATATGACTAAATGTGTATATTGCTATATACCGCCGACGGCCTCGCGCCTGAGGGGACCTCGCAAAAAATTTTTACTAGTTACCTATTTATTTTCGTTTCTCCTGGTCTGGCTTAAGTAGCCGACCCCGAACAATTCGGGGATAAAGCTAAGCAGATGATAATGGCTTTTATTAATTTCGAACACGTGCGTGATGGAAGCGAGTAGTACTTTACGGGTATTCAGAATCGTCTGTCTGGCAACACTATTTTTGTAATTAAATTTCTATGTGTTTAATTACTTTTTGTCATCATTTGATTATCAACAATAAAACTCGTTTACTCATACGTTATTTTATAATTAGGCTCACTTAATTTAACGGTTTTTTACTGCGAAGTAAAATAGACCTCACGAACTTGATGTCGCCGACGTCCACATGTGGTCTAGCCCCGCCACTGGACATAGCGTCCGAAGTTATGTAGTCCCTTTAATGTCGTTATATCCGGTTTCGACTGTATTTGTAAAATCTGTGTGTTTTAACGTTGTCCGATCGCAAGGTAACTTTCGTACTCGAATACAACTCGCACTTCGCCGCTTTTTTCCACATTAAATAGAAACTAGCAAACCAGTGAACCAAATGTTCTCCAAAACCTGATTTAAAAAATGTATGTATTATCTATCTCTTATCGTTTCCAAGATATAGAAATCACGTGATTTCTCGAAAACCGGAAGTGCTACGTTACTCAAATCCGGTTTGTAGTCTTATCAGACTATTCTTAACTTATAACTTAAATATTCTCTTTATCTATCTCTCGGTTTGGCCGCTGAAACAGCACCACAGACGGACGGACGGACTTGTCTAATAGATAAGAGATACCACTCGCATGTATCTACATGTTACTTTAACTGACATGAAATGTCATTACATGACAAAAACTATTCAGACCTAGTATTCAGTACTTACCTAACACGAATCAATATCGAATTCGTAACGTTTGCGAGTCCAAAATGTCATTGTCAAATGTGTACTGATTTTTAGTTCTCGTTACGTCCGTTGTTGAGCTGCTGTTCAAGTTTCCATACAAAATTTGACATTGATATTTAGCACTCGCAAACTATTCGAATTTAATAATGGTTCGTGCTACGGGTACAGTACCCTTAGTACGATTACAATTACGAAAACTATGATAGTTTTCGTGAGCTCGCACTCGTACTAATTGTACTGATTTTATTGTTTTCGTTTCAATACAAATAAACATTGTTTAAATTCTATCATTAATTCATTTGCATCTTCTTAAATTTTAAGAATATTTGGTTACTTTTCACCAAAATGGACATAGAAGCATAATTTACAATTACGTAAACTATGATAGTTTTCGTGAGCTCAAACTCGGACTAAGGGTCCAGAGTGCACTCAGATTCAGATTCAGAAAACAAGCGCGCCATGTGAGTAAAGAAATGATAAGGAAACAAATCTTCGGTTATCGTAAGGTATATCAATGTGCTAATCTGAGTTCAAGTTCAACCAACTTACACAAACTTATCATTAACAACTGGTTCACACACAATGAAGAATTTTATCAATGCACATTTTCAGGGCACACGCAGATCATTCTCAATAATATTATTTAAATTCGATTATTTCGTCTGTCTGTTATCTATACTTTAATATTATAAAGCTGCAGAGTTTGTTTGTTTGTTTGAACGCGCTAATCTCTGGAAATACTGGTCCGATTTGAAAGATTCTTTCAGTGTTGGGTAGTCCATTTATCGAGAATAGCTATAGGCTATATTTTTTTTTCAAAATTAGGGATCCGTAATAGAATTGCTATTTTGTAACACAAGGTGTAAAATCGAAAACCTATTTTTGCGTGCGCTGCAAAAACTATTGACAATAGAAAAAAATGATGTACTACGGGTTTGTAGATCTCATTAAGAACTACAAAAAAGTCCACGAGAACATATATCTAGCTATCATGGTTTAATCACAATAACCGATTTTGTGTTCAAAATAATTATTAAATCGTCTGAAGAAAAAAAAGCTACGTTAAATATGTATCGTAATATTAATCTTTATCGAAATTAAGCATTATGTTATCAAGAGTATTTATGTAGAAGTAAAATACTTTTTGTTTCATCTCAATCGGATATTTCGTTTAAAAGTTATCACGTGTGTAAGATGTTAAGAGTTGGTTACCTATTAATGAGTTATGTGCCATAGAGTTTTTTATCAACATAAAATCCTGTAATAATCTTTTTCGAAATATATTTGTTGATGATTGTAAACGTGGGTGAAACCGCGGGGCACGGCTAGTGTGTAATTATACCCAATTTCCTGATTCAAAACCGATGAATTTTGCTATGGGAGTATATGGACTTCGATAAACCTATTCAGCGAACGTTTGCCGCTAAAATTAACCTTGAATGAAAATTCGATTCTTTAGTGTTCGTCAAAAGGGTTTATTTCGACTTTAATTTTGAACATCGGAGTCCTCTAAATTACGAAAAATACCGGGAAAACTGGACGATCGTATTGGCAGCCGCATCTTCAAATAATGTGCTAAATATAGAATTACTTCTTAACTCACCAAAATATACGTTTGATCTTTTGTAATAATTCCGTCCAGTCCATGGCGATGGATTTAAACTGATAACAGCGTCTACTTCACACGAAGTCACATGTACAACTAATGTGTTGACTTTAATCTGTCATGGCTATCAAGTCCAGTGAATCATTCCTACGATGATAAACTTCGTTAACAAGCTGTAGTATAATTAATTTATGATTTTTTTTCTCACATAACCAACATAAGGGCAAAATGGCTTATACGCCACTTTGGACGAAAATAAGTTACCTATATAATATAATTTTAATCAGATTTTTTTCTGCGTCGATCTGTTTATGTTTCGTGAAGTTTGAGTACTTTTTTGGCGGTTAAGCAACTCAATTTTTTGAAGAATTTTATTGTAGAAGCGAAATAAAGTTTGTTGTTTTTCTGAACCAATGGCGCTTACGGCTTACGCCCTACTATTTGGCGTATAATTTGATGTTTGTTTGACGAAAAGTCTATGGCGGGCCGAGTGATTTTCGCTTAAGCGACATCTAAATCGTAAAGTAGTGTTGCCAATCGATAGTCGACTATCGATGATTAATCGATGGTCTATTGATAGCCAACCAATCGTATGGCAATCGATCGGCTTATTGATACTATCAATAGTATTGTAATTCGTTAATAACAAACTATCGATACTATCGATTTTATTTGCAAACATACTATCGAAAGTTTAACAATTTGCAATAGTATTGTTTACAATTTTCAGGTATTATAGCCAATCACAAACTTTAGTCTAAAACAATCGCTAGTATCGATAGTATTGTTGCAAATAAAATCAACACTATCGATAGTATCGATACTATCAATAGTTTGTTATTCAATCAATCAATCAATCAATCAAAATCATTTATTCAGTTTAGGCTGTTACAAGCACATATGAATGTCTAGAAGCTACGCCATCGGTTCGTAAATCTACGGCGGGAGACCTTGTACTGAGAAGAACCGGCAAGAAACTCAGCAAGGGCTGTTTTTTTCTCCCTGTTTTATCATTTACAGAGTCGTCAAGTTGAAAAATGACTTCAGAGATGATTCATGAAGTCACCCTTCATTACATAATGTGAAATTATACATTAATTGTACACCTGCATTTTGATTGCTGTGTCACACAGTATAAATACAAATATTAACGAACTACAATAGTATCGATAGTATCTGTAGTATTGCACTCATTCGATAGAATTGCCTTGCCTTGTTCTGAGCTATTGATAGTTTCGATACTATCAGTTGTATCGATTCTATCGATCGGGTACATGATTTTCGATGTAAACTGTCGATAGTTTTAATATCGATAGTTCGGCAACACTATCGTAAAGTAAAGGCTGTAACTTTTAAATAGGATATTTAGAAAATATTATTTTATTAATATGTGTTTATTTTTATGGCTCTTCCTCTCGGAAAAGCAAAATCGCTTAAAAACATTTAAGCGATTTCGCATTTCCACTGTCAAATTATCTCGATTTAAAAATGATTTACTTGTCGTGAGAGCTGAGAAATGAGAGAAGTATAACGCTTTATCCGTACCAGGGATGTTGCGAACATTCGCATCTGCATCCGCAAATGCGGAACATCCGCATTGATTTGGACATCTGCATCTGCTTCCGCATCCGCATTAATCAATGCGAATGTTCATGCGGATGCGAATATTATACAAGTAGCGACAAGAAAGAAATTGGGCGGGGCCGGTGATTGACTCGTGCCGGCCGCACGTGAAAATAACCAATGGGAGCGAAGAAATTGGTGACAAGATTCGACACGTTTGTTTGTTCTAGCTAGTGCATAGGGACACGATATCGAATAGAAAGTATCGATACTGTACTCATGAGTAGTATCGGTAAAAAAGTATCGTACTCGTAAAAGTATCGAAACAAAAGTATCGATACTTCAAAGTATCGAGTAAATTTCATAGGGCCTTATCGGATCCTCTGTGGCCCGATGAGCAACCCCCCCCCCCCCCCACCCCGGGTTAAAAATTGAAAGAAAAACAATCCAATTTTATTATAGAACAGTAAAAGGACATATAAATTCACAAATTGCTATATTATATAATGAAAAGAAAATAGCTGTGATTTCTGACACTTAAAAAGTGTTCATTAATATCACATTAATAATTAAAATGTTACTTGAATCTGACACGCAGTTAACGGCGGCCATTGGCATGCTTCACTCAATATTATCATTATAGAAGAGGTTACGTCCGTTTTTTTTTCAGGTCCGTGGTTTCAAATAGGTATACACAGCACAGACAGAATAATAGTGTTACACTTGAATACATTTTTTTTTTTTTTTTTTATAGTTAGGTCCGACAAATGACTCCACCCCACCTGATGTTAAGTGAAGGTGAAGTCCAGACGCGAAGATAGCTGATACAGCAGTTCTACCTGCCACACCAGCCATCCTCACCCTGCCGGCCTGCATGTTGCTTCTTCACGCCTCTTTTAAAGGATCCCAGGTTGTAAGAGGGAGGGAACACGTGAGCGGGCAGAGCATTCCATTTACGGATAGTGCGACAAAGAAATGAGTCACCAAATTTCTTTGTACGCGTTGGAATTGTGGCCACAGTAAGACGGTGACAACGTAGGCCAGCGCGCGTGGTCCTCTGAAGGAAAGGGGAAGGTGGGATAAGAGAGAATAACTCCTCAGAACACTCGCCGTGGTACAAACGATAGAACGCGCTTAGTAACGCCACGTCACGGCGTAATTGAAGAGGCTCAAGGTGTTTAGTCACTTCCTCATCGCCTATGATGCGGATCGCGCGCCGCTGTAACCTATCCAAAGCATCGAGCAAGTACTTGGCGGAGCCATCCCAGAGGTGCGAGCAATATTCCACGCAGGACCGCACTTGCGTTTTGTACAACAAGCACAGTTGATCGGGCGCGAAAAAACGCCGCACCTTGTTCAGGACTCCGAGTTTGCGTGAAGCTGTTTTGATCACGGTTTCGATGTAGTCCTTTGGATTCAGGTCTGAGCGAACTTCCATACCGAGCATGGAAATGTTGCTCTGCAGCGGTAGTGTTGTGCCCTGAAGAGATGGAAGGGGAAGGAATGGCGATGTTTTTGCCGTGAAAGCGCAAGCCTGAGTTTTCTTGGCATTGAACCCAACCAAGTTCCTGGTACCCCATTCGGAAATGTGGTCCAAAGCCTGATTGAGCTCAATGACAAGATTTTCCCGTTTCTCCCTGGTTACTGCCCGCCCAGCCGCTGCTTGTCCGAGATACCCCGCATGCACTGTACTATCGTCTGCATAGCAATGAATATTCCTAAGAGGAATCAAGTCATTGATATGCAGCAGAAAGAGAGTGGGGGATAGGACGGAGCCCTGGGGAACGCCGGCATTCACTGACATGAACCGCGAACTGCTACCATCCGTAAGGACACGAATTCTACGCTCATGCAGGAAGTCAGCTACCCAAGAACAGAACTGGGCTGGCAGACCGTATGCCGGAAGCTTAGAGAGAAGGCTTTTGTGCCAGACCCTGTCGAACGCCTTGGCAATGTCAAGGCTGATAGCCAACGACTCGCCACGCTTGTCGATAGCCTCACCCCAGATATGAGTTAAGTACGCTAGAAGATCACCCGTCGATCGTTTCAGTCTAAATCCATATTGACGATCATTAATCAGGGAGTGATCCTCTAGGTAGCGGGTCAGATGGTTATTAAGGACCTTTTCTAGAACTTTACATAAAACTGAGGTGACTGCTATTGGCCGATAGTTTGCCGGGTCTGAGCGATCCCCTTTTTTGGGCACCGGTTGCACGTTAGCATCTCTCCAAGTCTCCGGCACACGCCCCAAAGAATACGAGCATTGGTACAAGCGCGTGAGCACGGGAGACAACTCCGCTGCACATTTTTTAAGTACTACTGCTGGGATGCCATCAGGTCCACTAGCTTTCCGGACGTCGAGTGATTGCGATTCGGCACGAACCTCACGCTGCCTGATTTTAATATCAGGCATCGTTGTGCCACAGTGAGGTAATGATGGTGGCAGTGCATTGCAATCATCGATTCGGGAGTTAGCCGCAAAGAGTTTTGCCAGTAAATCGGCTTTCTCCTGCGGCTTATGAGCTAGTGTTCCGTCTGGGCATCTCAGAGGTGGCAGCGAGGGCTGGCAGAAGTTTTTTTGCACGGCCTTGGCCAAACGCCAGTAGCTACGGGAGCCCGCAGGCTGCGTTATAAGTTCCTGGCCAACACGTGCAACACGCTGGGCATCCGCTCTGATGTAAGCCTTCTTACAGGCCTTGGAAGCAGAATTGTAGGCTGTTTTGAGTGAATCGACCCCGGGATCCTTGAGAGCGCGGCCTCTGATCCAAGCACGATATGCCGCTTGCTTACGCGAAGCAGCTTCAGCACAGTCGTGATTGAACCAGAGGTTACGTGTGCCCTTACTGATGAGATCAGAATGAGGAATATAGTATTCCATACCCATTATGATCTCCTCAGTAATGGCAACGGCACTGCCCGATAGGTCCCTGTCACTGAAGCAGCGCTGCTTCCAAGGGACGGACGCAAAGTAATCACGCATACCGTCCCAATGTGCCGACCCATAATGCCAGATACGGCGCTTGACCACTGCTGGACGCGGAGGCTTGGCCTGTGGTGCTTTGGCAGATATCAGGCAGTGGTCGGACGAGCCCAGGGGGGCTCTTACCACAACCTGATAGCCCTGTGGATGGGTCGTGAGCAGAAGGTCCAGTAAAGAAGGCGCTTGACTTGGAATATCTGGGATCCTGGTGGTCTGATCAACCAGTTGCTTCAAGTCATGCGTGAGAGCGAATGTGTGAGCAGAGATCCCTGCATGGTCAGTTTTGGAAGAACTTAACCACAAATTGTGGTGAGCATTAAAGTCCCCCAAAAACACCAATTCTGCATTGGGAAATCATCGCCGGTGTGGGATCTGTAGAGGCACACGTAGACTCTGGCCCGGGGGCCAGAGTCGACGTGTACCCCCAGCATGTAGAAGGAGGGATCTTCCAAGCAGCAGAGACGGCGACAACAAACATCCGCCCGAACATACAGGCATACACCGGCTATCGCTTTGAAGGACTCTTCAAGCACGTAGCCGGGATAATTAAGGTAGCCTGTGTCAGCAGGCGGA